TATATACGAAAAATGACTCAACTTTATCAAATAAATGTAAAACTATCAGATAACCAGAAGAAGAATATTGCTGATGCTTACAAAAAAAGAGAAACAGTCATCATCAGACTCACAAATGATGCTCTTCGTGGTAATGACACTTTGAATGTGCCAGCTATGGTAAAGAAGAGATTAGAAAAGAATCGAAAAGAGAATAAAGGTATGGACATAAAGCTGTCTAAGACAAATATCAGAAAACAAGTTGGAGGTGGTTGGTTGTCTTCAGCTCTTGCTCTAGGTCGCGCATTGGCACCAACAATTGGGAAAACTTTGGGTTTATCAGCTTTATCAGGGTTAGCTAGTGAAGGTGTAAGCCAAATTGTTAAAAAGATAGCTGGAAAAGGACAAACTGGAGGTTTCCTTATACCACAAAACAAAATTGATAAACTAATCGCAAACAAGCATCTTCTATCTGCGAAACAAAAAAGAGATATTCTTGAAGCCCTCCAATCAGGTTCAGGTGTTGTTGAGAAGCCAACTAAAACACAATCTGGTGGTTTCCTTGGTACTCTACTAGCAAGTATCGGAATCCCTCTGGTTCTAAAAGCTTTAACCGGTCGTGGTTTGCATGTTGAACAATCAAGACCCCGGAGATCGATTCCAGTATATGTTCCTACAATGGATGGAAGAGGGAAAAATATGCTAATGCCATATCAACCACCACCGCTTATTGGTAGTTGGGGTAGCAACCAGATTGGTCTTGGTAAAAAAAAACCAACCAAAAAGAGAAAGGGAAAAGGTCTACTATTAGGAGAAAACAGCCCATTCAATCAAATACCAATACTGGGAGCTATTTTATAAATAAACCATTATCAAATCATGATTTAACAGATTGGGTAAAACAACTTGGCATAAAATACTTCAGAGGTGTTTTCAGTAAAGATATGTTACCAAAACAAATAAAAAACAAAGAATGTGGGATAATCAATCTTGATGATCATATTGGAGACGGTACACATTGGGTATGTTATAGAAATATTGACAGATTTTGTGAATACTTTGACTCTTTTGGATTACCAATGCCAATTGAAGTGAAAAAATATGTGAAAACAAGTGGAAAACGATTGGTATATTCATCAGATGAGATACAAGAACGTGATTCAGTATTATGTGGTTATTGGTGTCTATACTATCTATTGGATAGACAGAAGGGAAGAAGCATTCTTGATACAATACATAATTCTAAATTTGATATGTCAGATACGAGTGTCAATCATAGATTTATCATAAATTACTTCAAAAATATATAATATATATATATATAATGTCCAAACCATATTGCGGAATACATAAAGTTCCTAAAAATAGAGTACGTGGAACTGCTGAATATTGTATTAAATCAGGTCAAGGTAGATATTATGGGATAAATTCAGTTGAAGATGTAATCGATGAAGTCCTTGCTGAGAAAAGAAGGTTAGCAAATGAAAAGGCTAAGATTAAACGTCAGGAAGCTAAGAAGAAGGTAGCTGATGCTAATAAAAAGATAAAAGAAGCTAATGTAGCTGTAAAAGATGCTAATAAAGCAAAACAAGAATCTAAGAAAGCTGAACAAGAAGCCAAAAAACCTGCAGTTAACAATACTAAAGCTAAAAAAAAAGGAAGACCTCCAGCTAACAATTAAAATTATAGCTAAATCTAAAAAATAATTCATCTAAAAAATAAAATTTAAAAACTAAAAATATGTAACTTATATATATGATGGTAAAATCATATTGCGTTAAAGAAAAAAAAAACAAACTGAATGTGTACCAGGTAGTGAACAATATGTCAAAACTAAAAATGGTCGAACCATGATGAAGTGCCAATGTGCCAGCTGTGGGATAATAAAAGCCAAATTCGTCAAGAACCGGGGAAACTAACGGTGCCCTCACAAGCTGGGGGCGAATTTGCAGCAGAGTTGCTTAGAGGTGCAACTAAAGTTTTATTCAATCTTGGTAGAAAAGGCGCATCGGAAGCTGTTAAATCAAATTATGCAAAACAAAAAATAAAAAGTGTTGCAAACCAATATTTAGATCAAGCTTTGGATCGTTTTACATCAGATTTGTCTAATAAACTTGATCCAGTCAGTGGTAAAGGTATTGATATACATAAAGCTATATTAAAAGTAGCAGCTAAAAAAGGTTTTGTGATGCCTGGGCATCATTACACGGATCCAGGGAATCCATTAGAACAACAGCTAAGCTATGATCCAAATACTGGTCAAATACTTGAGATATATCAACAACCAACTGGTAAGACTGATGCTGTAAGTATGCAACATGATGTTGATTACTCAGTATGTGCTAATAAGTCAAAAAGTAACCAAGTTAAATGCAAGAATGATGCAGATCGTAAGATGGTCAAAGCTCTTGATGCAATACCTTGGAAAGACAGACAATGGGGACATGCTGTTGCTCGCAATGCTATAGCAACGAAATCTAAATTGGGTATGGGATCTAAGAAGCCAAAAAAAGGTAAAAGTTGTTGTTTAGAATGCGCTATAGCATCTTTGCCAAAGTTGGGTATGGGTGTTAAAAAGTCAAAAAACGGGAAAAGCCGTCGAGTGAAGAAAATTGGCAAGTAAAATTAGCTGATGAGTTACATACACCCATAAAACGCAACTTCACTCGGCGGCGTGTAATCACAAATCATATCGATGAAATATGGGCAAGTGATCTAGTTGAAATGCAACAGTTTAGTAAATGGAATAAGGGTTACCGATATCTTCTAATGGTTATTGATGTTTTCAGCAAATACTGTTGGATCGTTCCATTAAAAGATAAGAAAGGTGAATCTGTCACTGAAGCCTTCAAAACAATATTCAAGGAAGGCAGAAAACCACAATATCTATGGGTTGATAAGGGAAAAGAGTTCTATAACAAACATCTGAAAGACTTATTAGATAAAAATGGGATACACATGTACTCAACTGAGAATGAAGAGAAGTCATCTGTAGTTGAAAGATGGAATAGGACAATTAAATCCAAAATGTGGAAACAATTCACTGTTCAAGGTAATACAATGTATCTCGATATGCTCCCCAAACTAGTAAAACAGTACAATAACACAAAACATTCAAGCATAAAGATGACACCCGTTGAAGCATCTAATAAGAAGAATGAAGGAACTGTTAACTTTAATCTATATGGTGATATGGAAACACCAAAACAGAAACCAAAATTCAAAATAGGTGATAAGGTTCGAATACCCAAGTATAAAAGAAATGTTTTCGATAAGGGTTATACACCAAATTGGACTGAAGAAGTGTTCACAGTTGATAAGATCCAATACACTAATCCAATAACATACAAATTAAAAGATCTCAATGATGAAGACATACAGGGGAGTTTTTATGAACCGGAATTATTAAAAGCCAAACAGGATGTTTTCCGTATTGATAAAGTTATTCGCAGAGATTATAAGAAAAAACAAGCTTTGGTGAAGTGGAAGGGATATAGTGATGATTTTAATAGCTGGATTCCAATGAAAGATTTAACCGCATTATAAATTGACTTATAAAAATAATAATATATAGTAATAATATACAATGGCTGGAAGACCAATAAAATATTTTACAGAAGAAGACAGAAAAAAAGCAATTCAACAAAGCAAAAACAAACATATTTTAAATAAAGAGTGGCGATGTCCTGTATGTGACAATCATGATTACAAAATGGTTGGAAAATGGAGACATTTAAATACTAAAAAACATAAAAAAAAATATGGAAGCAATTGAAGATGACAATTTTAAACGCACCTCAATTAACACATAAGAAAATATTTATATAATCTTATTATATAGATAAGATTATATGAACTTTCTTAAAGATCTCTCAACAAGCTACTACAAAAACGCCAAACAATTAAATTACACCTGGATGGATTTAGTTAAAAAGACAACCAGAGATAAAGTAATTGGTGATGTTATACTATTCAAAAGCATAAAACTTATGACTAAAGCTGAAACAGATACAATGAAAAATAAAATTTGGGATAAAACATTAAAAGAGATGGGAGATAAATTAAAAAGAGAGCATGTTAAAATAATGAAACAACAAAAAACTAAGATAGAGCAATTGGCTAAAGCTCTTAAGGGAAATGTAGAATCTTTTAAAATAAGCGTTATAAACAACAAAGATCCATTATTACAACTACAAAAGACTAGAAAAGCAATTGAGAAGCATATCATAAAACATTTAACATCAAAGAAAGGATTAAAATTCATTGAAACACTAAGAGTTATTTTCAGAAAGCCTAAAGACAATCAAATTGAGTTCAGAACCGCATTCTTCAACAGTAAAGCACAGGAGATAACCAACAATGGGATGGTGGTTGAAGCTTTAAAATTATCAAAAGATCATATCTTAAACATTATAGCCAAATGGATATCTGAAGGTTCTGGATGGACTATTCAATCAGTTGATAGTCATTTCTTGAATATTGTAGAATATCAACCATTAAAAGGATCTTCATATATTGAACTACCAATAGAATTAAGAAATAGTATGAAAGGATTGATTAATATTAAAAATAATGACAATGAATGTTTCAGATGGTGTCATATCCGATTTTTAAATCCTCAAGATTCACATTCAGAACTAATTTAAAGATCTGATAAACATTATTTAGAAAAATTAGATTACTCTGGAATTGAATTTCCTATAAAAATCAATCAGTACAATAAAATTGAAAAGCAAAATTAGATTAACATTAATGTATTTGGATATGAAAACAAACAACCATATCCCATTTATGTGTCAAAAGAAAAATATAAAAATCATATGGAATTATTACTAATAACTGAAAAGGAAAATAAACATTATGTGCTAATAAAAGATTTTAATAGATTTATGTACAACAAAACCAAGCATGAGCATAGAAAACACTTCTGCATGCATTGCCTTCAGTGTTTTAGCTCTGAAAGTGTCTTTAATAATCATAAAGATAATTGTATTCAAGTAAATGGAACTCAAGCAGTAAAAATGCCTGATAAAGATAAAAACATAGTAAAATTCAACAACTTTCATAAACAACAGCCTGTGCCATTTGTGATCTATGCAGACTTTGAGGCTATAACAGAAAAGATATCGGGTTGTCAACCTAATGATGATAAATCATATACAAATGCATATCAAAAACATACTGATTGTGGTTTTGGTTATAAGGTTGTCTGTTGTTATGATGATAAATATAGTCAACCCCTGAAAATATATAGAGGTGAAAAAGCTGTTTATACATTCATGGAATACCTTTTAGATGAAGTTAAATATTGCAAGAAAGTTAGGAAAAAAGAATTCAATAAACCATTGATAATGACAAAGGAAGATGAAGAGAAATTTCTAAAAGCTAATGAATGTTATATTTGCAACAAGAAATATACTGATAAAGATATTAAAGTCAGAGACCATTGCCACATCACAGGTAAATATAGAGGATCAGCACATCAAGAATGCAATCTGCAACTTAGATTAAACCCTGAAGAAGTTAAAATACCCGTTATATTTCATAATTTGAGAGGGTATGATAGTCATTTTATAATGCAAGAGATTGGAGCCATTTTTAAGAACCATACATATAAAAATAATAAAGGAGAAGAGAAACAGATGAATATAAATGCAATTCCAAATAATATGGAAAAATATATGGCATTCATGTTAGGTAATCACTTAACATTTATTGATAGTTTCCAGTTTATGAGTTCAAGTTTAGAAAAACTTGTGAGTAATTTATCAAAAGAATCATTAAAGTATACAAGCAAAAGTTTTAAAGGTGAGAAACTTGATTTGATGGTAAGAAAAGGAGTATATCCTTATGATTATATGGACTCATTTGAAAAATTCAATCACAAGCTGCCATCTAAAGAAGATTTTTACAGCATATTAAATGATCAACATATATCAAATGAAAATTATGAACATGCTCAAAATGTTTGGAATAAATTCTCTCTTAAAAATATGGGTGATTATCACAACCTATATCACAAGTCTGACATTCTTCTATTAGCTGATGTATTTGAAAACTTTAGAAATACTTGTCTTGAATATATATTGATCTCGGTTTGAAATTTAGTAAAGTTCATCGAGTACTTGAGTTTAATCAATCTCCTTGGCTTAAACAATATATTGCTTTCAATACTGAAAAGAGAAAGAATGCTAAAAATGCTTTTGAAAAAGAGTTCTTCAAGTTAATGAATAATAGTGTATTTGGTAAAACTATGGAAAACATCAGAAAGCGAGTTGATGTTAGACTTGTAACTGATGAGAAAAAACTGTTGAAGCTAACCAGTAAACCAACTTATGTTAGTTGTAAGATATTTAATGAAAATCTAGTTGCTGTTCATAAGATCAAAGAAACAATTACTCTAAACAGGCCGGCATATGTGGGCATGTCCATCTTAGATCTAAGCAAGACTTTAATGTATGATTTTCATTATAAATATATTAAAAAGAATTATGGAGAAAAAGCTATGTTATTATTCACTGATACAGACTCTCTAACTTATGAAATTGAAGCTAATGATGTTTATAGAGATTTTTGGATTGATAAAGATAAATTTGACAACAGTGACTACCCTGAAGGCTCACCTTATTTTGATAAGACAAATAAGAAAGTAATTGGAAAATTTAAAGATGAAGCTGCTGGAGTTCCTATTTGTGAATTTGTTGGTTTAAGATCAAAAATGTATAGTTGTATAAAAGATAATGAAAAAGGAGGTAAAACTGCTAAAGGAATCAAGAAGAATGTTATTAAGAATAACATAACACATGAAAACTATAGAGATACACTCTTCAATAATAAACAGATGCATCATAAAATGAAAACTATCAGAAGTGAAAACCATCAACTTGGAAGTTATCAAATCAATAAAGTATCACTCAGCTGTTTTGATGATAAAAGATATATACATGATGATGGAATAACAAGTTATGCATATGGACATTTTAAAATATCAGATAAAGTTCCCAATAGAATATAAAGTTCTGAAATTCCATGTTGTAGCGTTTTTATTGTTTTCTATAAACTCTAAAAATTATCGCAGAATATAGATTTTATATCATTACTGATATCAATAATAATATATTTACTGATATCAATACTTATATCAATACTGATATCAATACTTATAATTGTTTGCCTTTATTTATTTTTGAAATTATTGTTTGCTATCCTTTTTGATATCCAACACAGAAAATTATTATCTGCTATCCTTTTTAATATCCAACACAGAAAATTATTATCTGTTATCCTTTTTAATATCCAACACAGAAAATTATTTTTTAATACTTTTTTATTAAACCAAGCGCTAAAATTACACCGAAAACAAGACCCGGAAATGACTCAAAAAAATAAATTTTTTTGGAAACATAAAAGTTTTGAGCACATTTAGGAGAAATCTCCTAATGATAATTAGCAAGCTAATTATATATAATGAGTAAACTCATTATATTCAACCTCAAAACACCCGATCAAAAAAAATTAAAA